TGCAAAAGAAAGTAATCTAGTGGCTTTTGTGGACTGTTGATGAAGGTAATGAAGAACAAATAAGAAAAGCTGCATAAAAGCTGTGAAACTTCACAGGGGTTCTCCATCTTTCCATGTAAGATGTCTTCACTTAGATAGTTGTTTTTATTAATTTATGGAGTGGGACTCCTGAGCCTGTAAGTGAGTCCAGCTAATGGAGGAATTCCCATATGTGTATTAAAGGCAGCATAACCAAGGGGGAAGACGATAAACTGAAAGCAGATTTTTCACACGTTCTCTTTGCCAAAAGGCTTGAGTGATTACAACAATGATTTAGGGGTTGCTATTACTTTAAATGGAGAGAGACTGATGGAGCAGTATTCGGCATAGTGGTGCCGTCATTTCCCGAGCACTGCAAGCAGAGACTCCTGCGAAGGTCAGGAGATTTTGTTGAAATACGTTTTCAGATGATAAGCGTGTGTATAGGAAGGGGTTGTGGTGGTGGGTTGCCCAGTTGCAAGTGATGTAGGTGGTGTGGGGATGAGGGGTTTGTGGTTTTTTGGGGGGTGTTTTTTTGTTTGTTGTATTTTTTGTTTTTGTTTTTTCCTCTGCAAAAGGGCTTGTATCCTTGGCAGGCTTTCCCATCTCTGGACTTGATTGCTTCAGCAGTCTTAGAAAGAGAAAACCTAGAAAACTTGTTGCATAATATTTTGGGTAAATTGAATGGCTGATGAGACTACTGGGCTCAGCTTCTCATTTCCCTTCTAGGAGGTGGGTGGAAAGAGCCTTGATTTTGCTAGTGATTAAGGGAGTGGTATAACAGAAGAGCATGTTCTAGTTACTGTCTTCGTAGAAGAAATCTAGTTTCTTCTAATTATTTCCTGCAGCCGGTCGCCAACGGCAGTGGAGCTCAGCTCCTGCGATTCATACGGAAACTCAACTGCTCCTGGGAGAGTGGATCTGGCAGCCTGGTCTGTAATGGGTCACCCTCGAGTGCTCTACTGTGTGTTGTACCAGCTGGCTCCCGGACACCGGCTGTAGCTTTCTAGTCCTTTGTAGTTCAGCGGGGCAGCTGCTCTGCAGGGTTGGGACTGGCACATGGGGCTTTCACAAAGGAGGCAGCAGTGGGCAGGCCTGGGTGTTCAAACACTGTGGGGGGTGTGTGCTCCTCTAACTTGTCCAGACTCGGCATCCGTTTAAAGCCAGTGGGTTGGCAGTGGTTTGCGTCTGCTGGAATTGCATTCCTCTTAGACCTTTAAGCAGTTCTACCACAAACTCCTTGACTTCTACAAAACTACTTATGTTGGTGTATGGTCTTGGTCTTGCTGGGCGCGCAGGCACCTTCCCACGGTTGTAGGACATATTGAGAAGTAAAGTTACAGCCTCACAGAGCATTTCGGGATATGCTCTGCCATCCCTTAATTCTTTGAACACTGATTGTATAGCAGCAGTAAGGATCATTTCTGCTCAGATTGATAAATCTGTGTCTGCTACATCTAATTTCTGTAAATCAACCCTGACTGAGTAATGTCTGCAGGCTGTGGTTGTGCTCCCTGTGGCAAATAGTCCCAGTGTAATTCGGGAAGACTCCGTCAAAACCAGCAACTATTTCGGGCATGTTAGTTTAGTCCAATGCCTGGAGGTGAACCATGAGGCTAATTGCCTTGTAAACCTCTCTAGTGGCTGAGACAGGAGATTTGGCAGCGCAGCTCCGTGGCAGGGAAGAAACTGCTCATAAGAGGCTTGTTAGATGGGGGAGCTCTGGCATCTGATCATTCTGAATTTGAGGTGTGGCTGATGCTGGGTCAGGGCAATTTAGTCTTGTTCCCTTTTTTGAAGCAGAACTGTGTTCCATGTCTCTGTACCTAGTCTGGCACTCTCACTTTGTGTTTGTGTTTTTGTTTTTTTTAAAAAAAAATGCAAACAAACCAACAACCCCCCCAAAAAAACCCCAGACAAAAACCAATAAAAAACCAAACCAAAAGGTGGAGGGAATCACAGAAATACCCTGGAGATTACAGAACATGCTGCAGTTCTTGGCTCTTGGACAGGTAATAAGGAAAATATCAAGAATCTGTCTGAGGTTATTACGGTTTTCTTTTTCTGACCTCTTTCAGTGAAAATTGTTGCCCTTGTTTGGATATAAAATTGCTGGTTTAGGTGGTCTACTAATACTGATTCATGAATGTGAAATAAATTCATTCCAAATTCTCCCTTTTATTTAAAACTTGCCATACTTTACTGCTTTACAGATTTAAAGGGTCAAACAGTAACTTTGACTTCCACAGGATAAAGAAATGAAAGTTAAAGCTGGAGAGGGATAGGGAGTAACTTCAGTGTGCATGCTTTATCTTCCAAATGAGAGCCCTGAATTCTGAGATAGGCTGATAGCAACACCGCATTTTAGTCACCTAATGGTTTTTTTTTTTTTTGTAAATACCACTTTCTGTTTCCTTAATGAAACATAAATCCCCTTCCTTGTGATCATCCCTTCTAAAGTCAGATTCTGTAAATGATTTCATTTGCACATTTGTATGTTTATGTAAGTGAATTTCTCTTCCATTTTTCAAAGATTATTAAAGGCCACAGAAGACTTGAGACCTAATTTATAGTTTATGAATAAATTACTTCCTCAAAAAGTCTGTTCTTGAGCTGCTGGATAACACTTTGTCATGAATACAGGCAAAAGAACACTTTGAAGGCTGTGGATTTTTTTCCTCTCTTAAATTTTCAGAGATGCAAAGTAAAGGGACAATTTGCAGTTGGAACAGCATCTTCTGGGGGCTTGTTCTGTGGTGAGATGTTCTGCTGGCTGTAAATAGGTGCTCTTCTGCTGCAAAACTTGGACTTGTGCACGTGTTCCATTTGTGATCCCATGCCTGTTGGTTTGTTTGGGTTTTTGTTTTGGGTGGGTGGGGATTTTAGGGGGAGGATTGCTTAGCCTGGGTGAATGCTCTAAAACAATGGAGAAACCATTTCTTATCCAGAAATGAGCAAATGTCTTACAGCAGACACTGTGAGAAAGGAGTGAATTACAGCATCTCATGTGTCACAGGTATCTGATGGGACAGGCTGCTGGGATTTTATCCTCCTCAGAGAGGAACATGGTTGTTTTAATGTTACTGGTGCCTAAAGGTAGCTTGTTACACAGCAATGACTTTGATGCAGAGCTACCGAGACTACTGTGCATGTGTATCCAAGAGGACGGTTTACTGATGTCTCCCTAAAATGCAAAGGAGATGTGCAGAGCAGTTGAGTGTCTCTGCTGGAGGGTCAGCAGTTGTCAGTACGGTGCCAAATCTAAATGAATAGGTAACCAGCAACCCACAATGCTCTACCAGTAGCCAGCTGCATGATGGTGAGGTTGTGGTATATGAGCATAGGTGATGGATAGTATGCACAGCTGGTAAAGTGTGTTACAGCTCCCAATAAGGCAGCTGCAGCTCCATTGATGAGTTCATTAAATCAGAAACCTAGTGTGGACATGTCCAAACTGTGGGAGTCAGCTGGGTGCAGTCAGGACACAGTCCTGCAGCCAGCCCTCCTGGGCAGCTCCAAATCAAAACTGATTCAAAGCAAGAACAAATACAACTATGTTAATAAAACTGTATCTGCCAGAGCAGAGTTAATTGTGTTCTGCACTGACAGTGATGTGTCTGGAGAAGATCAGTAGGCTAGTGCTGTAATTTCAGTTATGTCTTTTTCTCTTTTCCCTACCATGACATCTGTTAGCTTGACTTCAAGTTTAGAGGAGCAGAACAGTGTTTTGTTGGTGTCTTTGAATTTGTGTGATGAGAAAGAACTTCAGTGAGAACTATGAATTTTGACATCAGTAAGGACATACACTTCATTTTTGGTGATACCTTCAAGATGCAAGAACACCACTCCCCCTTTTTTGCTTCCTGGGAACCCATATGTAGTTTTAAAGCATTCCTGTTTCCTTCCTGGCTTACAGAACTGAGTAATATACACAAGTGGTGGTACTCCTTCAGTTACTGTGGTGTTCATCTGTCTGCGTATGTGATGTGGTTGTCTGAACAGTCAGGGTAGCACACATCCCCAGTGCCTGCCACATGGGCATAACAAATCTGATCAAATTCCTACCACTCTGTGCTCAATGTGCTTTAGTTTTGGGTGAAGACGACTGCTATGACTGCATGCAAGCTAAAAATGCATCCTTTGAAATCTCAACTTGTCTTCTTCAGATAGTATTGTTACCCCAGTGTTCAATCCCCGGTCACCCAGTCTCTGGAAGGATGCACCACAATGTGCTTTTGCTCTGCAGGTTGGGGGATAAGTAACAGACTGGCAGTATCTGGTGGAGCCTCGTGCTTAGGCAGTGGATGACGCAGGCGTTTCATGGCAGATTTTGCTTTCAGGAGTTGTGTTTTTGGAGGATGTGTGTTCTTAGTCATTAAAATCAGGAGAGAAATTCTGGGAACAAGGTTGAGGCACTAAACTTTATTCGTCTTACAAACTAAGTGCCATTTGTGCTGTGTGGAGCTGTTGCTAGAAATTGTTATAAAACTGCTAGAGGATTCTAGGAACAGCTGGGAAAATCCTGGCACTTCCTAGAAATTACTGGCTCTGGGATTGGGGGAGGAAGTCCTGGAAACTTTTGAGAATTCAGAAAAACTTCTCAACCCTACCAGACGTTCAGAGAAACTTAGCAGTTACTAGAGACCTTAAAAGCCACTAGAAATTGAAAGTTTCTGGGGAT